TATTTGGATTCCAAGGAAACAGGAGTTTACTGTGGTTTAGAAGTCAGGCTGATTGTACATGATAATTAGTTATAATTGGCATTGTTTCTTCCAAAGATTAAATTTTTGCTAAGTTTTTGTATATTATCACTAGCTTGAGTTTTCTCCTTTCTCTGCATTTCATTTCTATGGTCACCAGAAGGAAATTTTAAAACATTTTTAAAATAACTCTTTCTCTGTAAGTCACCCAGCACATAGTCCTCTAGTTTCAAACATAAAGGAGAACCTGGCTCAAACAAGAATGATCCTTTCTGCACACCCACCAGCTCATGCCTTCTCCTTTTTATTCTGAGAGGCTCCAGCTCAAAAGAAAGTTACAAGGTGAAGGGCTACTTTGAGTTCCCGACAGAGCTAATCCCTGCTTGGTCTTCAAAAAATAGAGGTCTGTAATTCCTTTTTGAACATGCCTTCGAAGTGGAGGTCTTGGGCTGTGAGCTCCACTTTGACGTCATCTAGTGCCCACTGGTGATCTGTTAGCTCCAAAACTTGCCACATTGTCTTGAAAGCTTTGTTGGTGTCTGCAGGCATGGCCATGGCTGCTCCAGTCATGGGCACCTGCATCATTCCTGATTGGTCAATGGCATTATCTTGGCCCAGAATCAGAGAGTAAATGCTCTGAAGCCCAAATACATAGCAGAAGTACCAGGATGTAGAACTCACCAGCATGCAGCTAATGTGAGTAGTTCGATTCTTTGCTGTATCATAGGCTTAAAACAAGGTCAGTGGAAATAGGACTTTGGTTGTGACAAAGCCCAAGAATGTCATGTTGATCCATCCACCAATAAGAACCACAGGGAGGAAGTTTGTTATACTCCCATGTATCATGTCTGTGAGCATAGTGGGATCAGTCATAGGAGAAGTTGGTACCATTTTTGCTTTATTTTTTTTGAAAAATCCATCCTCTGGGTTGTTGAAGTAGTATTTTCATGTCAAGAAGGACTATTTGGAATATAATTTGCATTTTCCCTGAGGACTGTACTTCAGATTAGGACTTAACTGTCAGATACTTGCTCCTGGGTAAGCTTCTTGTCACTCTGCAGCAGGATGGACACGCAGTGGTAGATCATGCTCAAAGAAGGTGATGACAAAGATGGGCAGGACCACCCAGAGGCTCACGTTGGAGTCAAGCAGCAGCTCCCGACATCTTTACTGAGAGCTAGGCTAGCCAAGGTTGCAGGATTTCCCCTCTGTGGGGCAGTGGGGCTTGTTTTCAGATTCTTCTCAGGTCATTCTCCCCCTCAGCCTGGGCACTGTCTTGGCTCAGGACTGCCCTGGGCTCTGCTGCGGCCTCAGGCCTAGTGCACTGCCTCCAGCTGGGCTGCCATTTGATTTTAAATAGTATCTGAGGGACCAGGCCCCATGGTGTAGTGGTTAAGTCCGGCGTGCTCCGCTTCGGTGGCCTGGGTTTTCGGATTTGGATCCTGGGCATGGACCTACACCACTCATCAAGCCATGCTATGGCGGCGACCCACATACAAACTAGAGGAAGATTGGCACACATGTTAGCTCAGGGCTAATCTTCCTCAAGCAAAAAAAAAAAGAATCTGAAGTATAGAGAGTTCTAAAACAGAAACCAAGGGTTCCCTGAAATCTTTTTGCTTGTTCTAAACCATCTGTATTAAGACCACATTTGGAATAAGAGTTACTAAACCTAGGATTTTTTTTTTATGAGGAAGACCAGCCCTGATCTAACATCCGATGCCAATCCTCCTCTTTTTGCTGAGGAAGATTGGCCCTGAGCTAACATCCGTGCCCATCTTTCTCTACTTTATATGGGACGTCGCCACAGCATGGCTTGACAAGCCGTGAGTCGGTGCGCGCCCGGGATCCGAACCTGCCAACCCTGGGCTGCCAAAGCAGAGCGTGTGCTCTTAACTGCTTGATCCACCGGGTTGGCCCCTAAACCTAGGATTTTTTTGACCACTCTCACCCTCCTTGCCTCCATGAAAAAAAACCAGACTATAAAACAGTATATACTGTATGAAATCACTTTTATAAAAACATAAAAACTTTTATTTGTCACTGCCTAATACATAAAAATGGCCAGCCCTACTGGTCTAGTGGTTAAGATTTGGCGCTATCACCATCACTGCCCAGGTTTGTTTCCCAGTCGTGGAACCACACCACCCGTCTGTCAGTTGTCCTACTGTGGTGACTGCGTGTTGCTGTTGATGCTGAAAGCTATGCCACTGGTATTTCAAATACCAGCAGGGTCACCCATAGTGGACAGGTTTCAGTGGAGCTTCCAGACTAGACAGACAAGGAAGGAGGACCTGGCCACCCACTTCTGAAAAAATTGGCCATGAAAACCCTATGAATAACAGCGGAGCATTGTCCGATATAGCGCAGGAAGGTGAGAGGATGGCGCAAAAAGACTGGGCAGGGTTCCGCTCTGCTATACACAGAGTCGCTAGGAGTCAGAATGGACTTTAGGGCACTAACAACAAAAGTACATCAAATAGTAAATACTCAATAAAAATTGTAGCATAATGATTAAAATGATTGAATGAATGTACAGGAAAAACAATGGAGTTTGATGCACCAAAATGTTAATTAACTGTACTTCTTTCTGTTATAGACCTATAGTTAATTCTTTTTTTTTTTTTTGTGAGGAAGATCAGCCCTGAGGTAACATCCACGCCAGTCCTCCTCTTTTTGCTGAGGAAGACTGGCTCTAGGCTAACATCTGTGCCTATTTTTCTCCACTTTATATGGGACGCCGCCACAGCATGGCCTGACAAGAGGTGCATTGGTGCGCGCCTGGGATCCGAACCCGGGCCGCCAGCAGTGGAGCGTGAGCACTTAACCGCTAAGCCACGGGGCCGGCCCCCATATAGTTGATTCTTTATTCTTATTTTTTCCAAATTTTCCACACAGTGAAAAAAAATATATATTTATGCATTTTAAAATGTTGCGTTTTCTCTTATTTATTTTTAAGTGGTGAGAGATTGATGAGAATGAAAATACTTCGTAGTTGTAGAAAGAGCTGTGTAGAAAGTTATACATTCAATCATTCCCTGAAATATCTCAAGCTGCTGATACATTCTGTTATCCTTTTACTCTGAAAGGCAACATAATAGTTGCGATGTGTCATAAGGAATAAATATCTTCAATGGTTTGGATACGTAGAGCAAATTGGGACACAATTCCCAAGCTAACGGCTTACCACACCTGAGAGGGTTCCGATGTACTAACAGCTGAGTGGGGCTATCTTACTCTTGCTTTAAAACAGCACACATGCTTAAATACTGGGATGGGAGACCCACTCATTGGGTGGAGACCTTTTAGAAGACAAAATTAAAAGTTATCCTTATCCTCAGGGAGCTTGAAGGCAAGTAACTTTGGGAGGTTACATTTAGAGTTTTTGTGCTTCAATTGACTTCATCTTGAAAATAGGGATGAAAATATTCCTGCTTAAAAGCATTACTTGGGGGCCGGCCCGGTGGCGCAAGCGGTTAAGTGCGCGTGCTCCGCTGCGGCGGCCCGGGGTTCGCTGGTTCGGGTCCCGGGCGCGCACCGACGCACTGCTTGGCAAGCCATGCTGTGGCGGCGTC